GAGTAAAGTATCAGACTTCTAGTTAATCCTTATTCTACTAACTCTATAAATATCAGTTTGCTCTCTTTTACATGTGATTACACATATATATACTAAAGTTAAGCAGAACAGAGAGCAAAATAACAAGGCATTTTGTGAGCAATTTCTATGAGATTCAAGGGTGCGAACCTAAAGCTATATGAACCAGATTAAAAAAACTAGTTTCATGTGTCTGCCTTTAATTCTAGTTCAAGTGTAGTAGGAGCTTTTAAGTTATACCTTGCAGCTTTCTTAAGAAGAAAATTGTGCTAGGTACTTGAGTCGTATCATTCAAGTTAGAGTTAACTTGAAGTAGTAGCAACAGCCCGTGACGTGTTGCTACAAGGGTTAGAGTTTAATCCTTAGATTTTCAAGAGTTTGTAAACATTGTTTTGGTTCAGCGTTTAGTGAAGTATTTGAAAAAAATTCTACTGGGAAGTAGGTCGTAGTTTTTTTTCCTTTTTGTGCCGGGTGTTTTTCACGTAAAAATTCTTATGTTCTTTACTTTCTGTCTTATTTATTCCGCAGTTGTAATGTAAGGAATGCATCAAAGAATGAGGTCCTTCGATAATCAAGTGCACGCAAAAATTGAATACCACACAAATCATCCCCTTATGTGGTATTGAAGTATTAAACGTCACAACCCAAATAAAGGTGATGAATAAGAATGAAACCTTTGCTGGGGATGGTCAAAATTCTCATACAATTAAAGATTAATGGGAAAACGCCCAAAAATGACCTTGTGGTATTCGAAATGGATCAATTATAACTCCCGTTTAAATTTGAGTCCAAAAATGACCCCACCATTATAGAATGGGTCTAATAATGCCCTTGTGTTATTCGAAATGGATCAATTATAACCCTCGTTTAAATTTGAGCCCACCAATGACCCTGCCATTAAAAAATGGGTCTAATACTGCTATTTCTCTCAGTTAGTAATGATTAGGGGTGTAAAATGAATATTTAAAAACCGACAGAAACGTGCCGAACCAATTTTTAGGTTTCTTTTAATAAAATCGTAGGTTTTTATATAAATTTATAACCGTACCGATAATTAGGGTAGGTTTTTTATTTTATAAAAATAAACCGAAAAAATATTAAACCGTACCGAATAAATTTACATGTGAATATATGTTTCACATGTAAATATATCGGACCTATTATTAGACCCAGTATAAATATATGTTTCACATGTAAATTTATTCGGTACAGTTCGATATTTATATATTAAGTTTAAAAATGATAATGGGTCTAATATTTATAAAGAATGAGTCGAATAAGTTTAAAATTTGAGCCCACTAATGACCATATCGTTAAAGAATGAGTCTAATATTTATATTTGTAAATAATAATGTATTAATATAAATAATGTATAAATTTTAATACATTATTATTTTTAAAATTAATATATAAATATATGTTTCACATGTTAATTTATTCGGTACGGTTAGATATTTTTTCGGTTTATTTTTATAAAATAAAAAATCTACTCTAATTATCGGTACAATTATAGATTTATATAAAAACCTACGGTTTTATTAGAAGAAACCTAAAAATTGATTCAGCATGGTTTTGTCAGTTTTTAAATATTTATTTTACACCCCTAATCATTACTAACTGAGAGAAATAGCAGTATTAGACCCATTCTTTAATGGCAGGGTCATTGGTGGGCTCAAATTTAAACGAGAATTATAATTGATCCATTTCGAATAACACAAGGGCATTATTAGACTCATTCTATAACGGTAGGGTCATTTTTGGACTCAAGTTTAAACGAAGGTTATAATTGATCCATTTCGAATCTCATAAGGTCATTTTTGGGCCTTTTCCCAAGATTATTTGCAGAAAGTGTTAGAAAGTTTAATCTTTCCGGTTGAGGGTCTTAGCTAGGAAGCTTTATGGAAAGCTTTGTTCTACTTTCCATTAGCCTTTTGTTTGATGCTTTCGACAAAATGGTTCTTGCAGCTAGTTGACCATGTGGGCTAGTACTTTTTAATTTTCAAGAATAATCATTCAACAACCTTCACCTAGAAATACAAATTCTTTTTCAGAGAGAGAATTTTCTCTTTGGAAGTATGTACTCATATTCGGTACTGAAAAAAGAAGTACGTATGTAATTTCATCGTCAATTTTCTTCAATGGAATGTAATTCTTTTCGTCTGAAGAGTAGTTATTTTCAATGCCGTAAGAGTTGTTGACTATTGTATTTTTGAGAAATTGTAATTGTGTTTTTCTTATTTTACTGTCGTAAGTTAATTAAACTAAATGGATCTTTTGTGGTTTTGTAAGAAGTTGAAGAGATCGAGGCGCATATCATGAAAAAATTTAGAAGGCTGCATATTAAAAAAAAATGCGTACATTAAGGCTGTAAAATGCAAAGAAGTCTAAAATATTTCATAAAAGCTCCCAATCCACCGTGGGTAGTTTTATATGTACTTAGATATTTTATTTGGGCTACGCCTCACGAGGTTTTAATTTAGATATGTGATAGCCACTTTATATGTACATATGGGATGCATGCTTAATATTATTTAGTTGATGTCAGGAAAAAGGCTCATTCAATAGCCACTAGGCTCGTTTGATGCTGGTCATGGCCATTTGGGCGATGACTAGGTATGTTCATAAAAACTCGAAAAATCAAACAAAATCGAAAAGCGAATTAAATCGATCAAAAAAATTGATACTTTTTAGGTTTGGTTTGATTTTGGTTTTGAATTTTAAAAACCGATCAAATTTGGTTTGGTTTTGGTTTTAATAAAAAATAACCGAAATTTTTTAACCAAACCGACTATAGAAATAGCTATTTAAATTAATTATTATACCTATATATATATATCTATATTTTTATATAAAGTTTCTAAAATTTTATAGTACGTATTAGTCGTTTATATTTTTAGTCTAGTTTTTTACAATTATAATAATCTAATTCTTTGCCTTTACATTTTAGATTGATTGGTAGTTTTCTTTTGCTAAGTACAAGAATTTATTTCATGTTAAAAATAATCGATTTTTAATTGAGTACTTAAATTATTCATCACTATTTGATTCAATTATCATCAATATATCTTGATAAATGATAGATTTCTCAAAGAGCAATTGGTTTGATAGTGTTAAGTTGAAAATGTAATCTCCGAAATATTTATTTGGTAGTGTATGTCTCATATTTAAGAAAAAACCCGATAAATAACCGAAAAAACCGAAAAACCGACCAAAACCGACAAAAACTGAATCGATAAAAAATCGACTTAATTGGTTTAGTTTGATTCCAATATTTGAATAATTACCGACTTATTTGGTTTGGTTTCTTTTTAGGAAAAAATCGATCCAAATCGAACCAGACCACCCCTAGCCGTGACAACATCACTATCCAATAACAGAATAGCGGTGTATTAGTGTTCTGCGTATTGCTAGCAAACCTTATTCTTCTCGTAGGGTATTACGAGTAGGTGTATTTCTAACCAGGCGACACTTTAGGTAAATTTTATATTAGAAAAATACAGGAGAAACATTGAGCATACGAGAAAGCAAGCCTTACACAGGTATTTTAAAGTTGTACCGACCTAGAGCAAAACAAACAATAATTGTAGTGGGCTGGAATGTTATACATTTGTTCTGCAATCAGAGGAGCAAATTAAATAAAATATGAGACGGGAGAACTCAATCGGTTAGCATAATAAAGAGGTACTCCATTCATTTCACTAGTTTTAAAAAAAAAATAAGACTTTTAAAATTTATGGTCTTAAAAGTTTAAAGGATAAAAACTTTGTGGAGCCATGACATTTGTGTGATTATAAAAATTTCTCATTAAAGATAACTTGGATAAAGTGAAGAGTTTAAAATTAATTTATTTTTAATTATAAAAATATACCATTATATTTGGAACTGACTAATAAAAAAAATATTTAACTAAATTGAAACCGAGAGAATAACAATTTTGCTTTTATGGAAAAGCGGAGTTCTAATGGGAAACGATTAACTTTACAAGAAATGTGAACACGAGCCCACCAGAGTTGAGAATCGATTACTCCTGTTTTTTAAAATCTACAACGTTAGCCATACTTTTCACGCAATTGAAAGAAGGAGAAGTATTGTGATCTAAGACATCCGATACGCTCATATCTGTAGCTTCAAATTTTGAAGAGAACCAATCTTAAAGAAATTGATTGTCTTAAAAGGCAATTTAGTCAAACGAGATAAAACAGAAAATGGACGCGTATTGTTCCTAAAATAGAAGCTGGAATGCAAGATATATAAAGATTTTAGCTAACCAGTGGCCGTTGAAGAGAGCATATTCTCATTATACTATTTCTTATGTTTCAGCAATGGCGAGGTTTTCATATTTTGCTCCTTTCTGGTGAAGGAAGCAGAAAGGAAGATAATTTCTTTAGTGATGAAGTCCATATCACATCAAAAGATACTTAGATCTTAAATAGCCACAAAACTGAACGTCGAACAAATCCAAAACTTTGTCAGAAAACTACATTATGCTATGCGTACGTCACAAACAAGAAAAGCCCACACAATAAAGAATGAAAACACTAGAAATATTAGACAAAGAAGTCAAATTTGAGCATCTCCGCAATCAAATGCGAAGTCTTTATTTATTCAGAATTTAAATTTGATTGCCTGGAGAATGTAACTGAAATATTTATATTGTAAGATAAATTATAAGGTAAAAATAGATCTTATAAAAAGCATTAATAGGTAAGCTAATAAAAATAACAATTAACCTATTATCTAAGGTTAAACTATACGAATTGTGTAAACAATTAATCTATACTTGGTCAGTGCATATTCCTTAAATTCATTTATTTATTTAGCTCAAATGTGTCTTTGTTTGGGATTTACGTAAAAGGCCTAAATACTCCCCTGTCTCCACTCAATGGCAATATATCCCAACCCCACCTTCACTTCCCTTTGAAGCAACATTCATCTTTATAAACATCCTCCATCAATAATCACAACCAAGATTTCAAAAGATAATGGCTGATCTCTGCCGCGGCCACCACCTAGTTCTTCTATGGGTTTTAGCCACACTTGTAACCATCTCTTCTGCTATGCCACCACCAAACCCTATCAAATGCAATAAAACAGATTGCCAGCTTTCCAATTCCTACGGTATTTGGGGTGACAGACAAACATGTCACGCTCCAAAAATTGTCTATCCCACAACAGAAGAAGAGCTTCGACAAGAATTAGCCAATGCCAACAAGAACAACCTTAAAGTCAAAGTTGTCACAAGATTTTCACACACCATTCCTAAACTAGCATGCCCCAGTACTGGAAATGCTGCTGTCTTTATTAGTACTGAAAAATACGACTCAAATATTAATGTCGACGTGGAAAAACGTACTGCCACCGCTGATGGCGGAGTTGGACTCCGGAAGTTTATCGATACGATTGAAAAGGCGGGGTTGAGTTTAGTGGCCGCGCCATATTGGGAGGGAGTGACGGTTGCCGGAGTAATAAGTACGGGGGCTCACGGTAGTTCGTGGTGGGGCAAAGGAGGAGCAGTTCATGATCATGTTACTGGTCTGAGTCTTATTGTACCAGCAAATGAAGCTAATGGCTATGCCAAAATAATCAAATTAATACCACAAGATCCACTGTTCAATGCTGCTAAAGTTTCTCTTGGATTGCTTGGCATCATTTCTAAGGTAACAAGCATTTTTCTTTCATATTCTTTATATATATAAAATATGTTTGTTTCCTTTTTATTCAATAAATTTAATTAGGAGGGTTTAAGTTATTTTCCTGTCTAGTTTATTCGTATGTCCAAGTTGGTTTCTTTCGATTGTCGTAATTCATACATTTTTAAGAATTGATTTCCTTAGAGAATTAAGGAAATCACTTTAGAGCTGAAATTACGGATAATTAATTGGTTTATCAACTTGTTCTTTCCATCGGGAGTGTGATTAGTTCATTTACATTTTTTCGATTTATAAATGTCTCTTTCTATAGCTGTAAAATCATTAGTACTACTAGTATTATCTCTAGCCTAAGAGACAAAAATAAGTTATACTAGGGATACCATTATTTAAGAATTTATCTCAATTACAGAGTTTTATCATATTGGCTCATTACTTTTAGGTAGACAGACTGGAATCTAACGCAAAAAACAAAAAGAGAGGCATCCAGAGCATGATTGGGAACAGGTCACTATTTTTCTTCTTTTTTGGCTGCAGAATGGGAATGACATTTAACATTTCCCATTAGAGCATCAACTGAATGCCAAAAGTAACAAGCTGATTGATTAGTTAGTAATCATTCATATAAATCTTGTGATACGAAATCGAACTTGTTCAAGCGACAACAACTACTAGTACTACATAATATCTCCGGTAGTGCCACACCGATAGTTTTTTTATAATAAAATTATTAAATCTATTCATTTAGGCTTTCACAGGAGTTTGACATTATATTATAACCCCTACTATGTCAGAAAATCACAAAGAGAGGAACATAAACCCAACCTCTAAGTAGTTAAACGAGTCAACTATATGTCTTGCTAAAGATGGTGTGACTATTCAATCAATAAACTACTTACCGTACAGCTATGGTCGGAGGACTCCTCCTAGTTACATAGAGGCAGGCTATAGGGTAAAGCTTTAAAGCATTTGCTCGAGGCCCCAAATTTGGGGGCTCATTTTTTTAATATCAAAATAAATTTATAGTCTGTTTTAGAAAAATAATGAACAGTTTTTACCTTGAAAATTAGATATTTTTTTATAAAAGGAAAGAATAGATGTGTAACTAATTGAAGTGAGCGTAATACTTTTTATAAATGTGAATTTCTTTCCAACTTTTTTTTGTATGAACAAAAAATCTAACAAGTGAAATTATTATATTCCACTTTTTACCCATTTTTCATCAGAAAATATGTAGTACTAAATCATATTTTTACACTATTCATTTTCTTTCTTGGTTTGTCCAAGAGTTAATCGCTCGCATAACTTTATACTCTTATATATTCTCTTTCTTGCTTTTTTCGAGTTTAAGTCTGATAACTTAATAGGAATAGTATTTTTCGAAAACCCACATATCTTAAAAGTACTATTGATATCATATATCGTGCATTCTTTTTTATTTTTTCCTGAAGTTTCAAGCATTTTCTGTTATTGAAGGAGCAAAAAGATATCTTGAAATCAAGTCATCATTTTCTTGAATTAAATTCTATTATTAGAACTTTCAAGTGTTATTATCATCTCATTTTATTCTTACTTCATATTTATATATATTGTCTTTTATTCATTTATTAGAATTTAAATATGCTACGAAAAATATGAATCAAGTT